CTTCAGGAATCTTGGCTACTTGCCATTAACAAAGCTACTACTTTTCTCTGAATTTTCCTTGGGGGCAGTGGCTCCCTCTGGTTTTGGATGCTCTCCTGGGGCTGGGGTACTGTGAGGATGAGGATCTTATAAAAGCTTGACTAGAACTCAAATTACAAACCTTCCAAGGCCACTATATTCTCCCTCCCCTCTCTCCCCCCTTTTTTCTTTAACTCTGTCTTGAATCTGTAACTCTCATAGAACCATTTATATTGGCATTAGGTTTGATAGAGCTTTTAACAATCATTACAAGAGTCCTGCTTTGACCTGATGGTGACACACTAAAGCCACACCTCCTTGATGGTGACACATTAAAGCCACACCTCCTTGCCATTGCTAGCTATCTTACATGCAGCTGAACAAACAGGTAGAAATTATTTATTTTAAACACATGATATTGACCTGATGAGGAAAAACAAACTGTAGAGCCAACTGCGGTAAGATATTAAGCAGGACTTCCTGTTGGCCTTCGCTTTAAGAGCAATGCTACTATACACCTACTTACTTTTGAGACATTAAGATGCATGTCGCTTTAATGGAATGTCAACTTTAGCATGAATTAATAAAGGGGTAAGGAAGAGTAATGAATGTGGGAGAGCCTGGGATTGGGAGCAGGTCCTCTCTTACTCTGGGGACTATATCTGTTTCTCACTTCAGTTGTTATGCCCCCGCTTTTGTAGAAACCAAGTATCTTCTCTGTGAACTCTGCCTTCTGCGACTTGAGGCACATGGAGTGACAGTGTTTAATTGTAAACATTAAGATCATTAACAGATGCTCTCTGGAAATTGCACTTATGACAACCTGTTATCAGTAGCTTCAAATGATACAGGATCTAGTATTTTTGATGTCCCAGTAAGTGTCGTAGTTCTGTGGCAGAGTCTCAACATTTTGTGACTTGCAAGTCTAAGCAGTGAAATGCCCAACTCTGAATAAGCGGATCTGCACAGGAAGATAATTTAATTTTGCAGTAGCCTAGTTCCTTTAAAGGATTTTAACAGAACAGAAATTATTTTTTCCTTTAAATTCTGACCAGAGTGCAAGTATTGCCTGAACATGACTGAGTGGACTTTACTCAGTACCTGACATAGTTGTAGACCTGCAGGGCATTTCCTTCCCTCTTGCGCCCTCTGCCTCTAATTATATGTGTAAAACATCTGTGATTTCAATCCCTTGTGGTCCTCTCTCTCGGATCCCTAAAGAAGTGGCTTTCCATAAACTCAATTTCCTGTCCCATTTCTGTAATGGCAGTTCAGTTAACACTGACCAAATTCTCTTCTGCTTCTTAGGTCAATATCCGACACAGCCGTCCTACCCAGTGCAACCTCCTGGTAATCCTGTGTACCCACAGACAATGCCTCTTCCTCAAGCACCACCTTATACCGATGCACCTCCTGCTTACTCTGAGGTACGCAATATGTCCCTTTTGTATTCTTGCTCCACACCTGAAAAGTAAACTTGAACTGGTTACAAATGAATACTTAATACCTGCATTTGTTAGCCTGGAATGACCATTTGCACCTCCCAAGACTGGGCAGCAATCAGTCTGGCAGCTCTGTCTAGTGAGAAATGTGCTGAGTTAGGGGATGCCATTCTGACTGCTAATTAGAAAAGCATACTTTATGCACTTTGGGAGCTGTTCCAGGTTTCAAAATCCTTCTCTCTCTCTCTCTCTCTCCCGCCTTCAGAAATCAGTAAAACATTAGTTAATAGCTTTGGCTAAATGCTCAAGCATAACATTCAGTAAAAATGAATTGACATTGCCCTCTGCCAGAGGCTTCATGTGTGGATACAAACATTTCTGTTCCGAAATGGGAAAAAATACTTGTTCTGTGATCTGGCTGAAATCCACAAATAACATTTCCTTTCCCAAATCCATTTAAAATGCCAGAAACTTTAGTCAAAGCTTCCATTGGAGTTGCCACTAGAGCTAACCTGTGTAGGCAAAAGCCAATAAGATGGTTCTTCTGGATTGATTCTGGCAGACAATCGGGAAGCACCGTGCTTCAAATTGGCATAATCTGAACAAACTCCTCTCTCCCTCCAGATGGAGTTGTGCTTTCAGGGAAGGGAGTGGGACTACCGCTGTACTTGAGGGAGGGCGGCAGCCCTATGACATACTATCAGAGCTTTGAGAGAGAATCTGCATAAATGGTTCTGGGGCGAGGAAAATCTTATAACTTCCTTGTGTTTCTCGTTCTAGCTCTATCGTCCAAGCTTTGTGCATCCAGGGGCTGCCACCGTACCTACTATGTCCGCTGCATATCCTGGTGCTTCTCTGTACCTACCCATGGCACAGTCTGTGGCTGTTGGCCCAATGGGCTCTTCAGTTCCAATGGCATATTATCCTGTAGGTCCTGTCTACCCTCCTGGGTCAACTGTCCTTGTTGAAGGTGGCTTTGATGCCGGAGCGAGGTTTGGGGCTGGTGCCACTGGTAGTGTTCCTGTAAGTATAAATGTATTGTGGAAACCCTGCATGTCTCATTTTCAGAGTCACATGGGAGGCTGACAACATAGGCTATTCCTCAATCTCTAAACATTTATCATAAGGTGCTTGTGTCCGTATTTAGGAGCAATCGGCTGCTAGGAGAGAACCGATGTGAGCGACCTGTGCTTGTAGAGCTTATGGTGTTCTGTTGCAGTCTTTTTCTGCCATCACATCTCTGCTTGGCTTTGAGGGGGATAAAAAAATCCAGGGCGGCATTCATAGTCTTAATACTTGCCTATCCTGTTGCCTCACCAACTCTGTCCTATGAATGGAGCAGGGATGACTCTACTAGTTCAAACCAGGTGATCAGGGTGTTGCCCAGCTGTTTGTGTACTATTACGTGCAATCATAGTTCAGTAGCTAGCTATGGGTGCGTTGATGGTAATTATTCTGTGTTGCAAAAGGGAGTGCCCAGTTCACTGTAATCCAATATGTCTTGTCTACGCGGCTGAGGTGCCAAGGTGGCGTTGCCCTCTGATCCTCTTAACTAATCCTCTCTTTGTTTTTCAGCCGCCACCTCCTGGCTGCCCTCCCAACGCAGCCCAGCTGGCTGCCATGCAGGGTGCCAATGTGTTAGTGACGCAACGGAAGGGAAGTTACTTCATGGGGGGCTCGGATGGTGGCTACACTATCTGGTGAACAAAGAGGCTATGTTTGTTTAAGGAAAGACATCACATACTGTCAGCACTTCTCACAATGTAACTGCTTTAGTCATATTAACCTGAAGTTGCAGTTTAGACACATAACGGTGGGGTGTCTTCCTGGTGCCCAACCCTTCAGGCACTTTTAAAACGTAATAAGAAACCATGTAATGGTAGCAGTGCCTCTATTAAAGAGGGGTTAATTCATGAAATGAATGTGAGCTAAGCAGCCCCACAGATCTTCCTTTAATTCCACTGGAGTAATACTGCAGCACTGTCTCTTGGCTTTTATTAATCAACTGTCTATAAATTAGGGGGGCGGGAGGAGAAGGGTAGGAAGGAAATCTGACTTCAAAGTATCAAACTATAATTCTTGCAGCTCCATCTCAAATCTATTGCTTATCAATAGGAGTGAGATACATGCATCCTCTTTCTCCTTCCATAGAATCAATGGTGCTGGATAGAAAGCCAGTCACATTCATTTCTCTGGTGGCCACATAGAGCTTTTTCTCCCTCGCGACTTCACAGTAGAATGGATCCCTTGAAGCACTCTCTGTGCTCGCATTCGCTCTTCATTTTTCTCCAGGAAGGTTTGCAGCTAGGATGTGACATGGGATGTTCTTTTGATACATTCCCAGTAGCGTTGGGACTTCTTTGCACGTTGAGTCTAATCAAAGCCATGCTTTGGTGCCGGAAACACGGTGCAACTCCTGTGCGAACATTTCATTAAATGCAAACTAGACTTTTAAAACTACAGCTTAATAACAAAACCACATTTTAAAAGCAACTTGGTATCTTGACAGCAAAACTTAAGGCTATTGCTCAGAATAGAGAGACGGGTTTCCATCTGTGCTTGGGTGTGTAGCAACTGTCAATCAACACACAAGTTAGCTTGGTGAATGGCTTGTTTTATGAATGCATCCTTTAAAAAATGACTTGAGTATAATGAAGTCTTATTAGGGTTAAGAAGAATATTTCAGGGATCCTCAATCTTTTGGTTTTTGTTTTATGAAGAAAAAAAATCAGATTTGGTGAATATATTTTATCTTGAGGTTTCAGTTGAATCTAAATCTCTGTATTGTATGTTGTGTTAAACCGTACAACTGACTGTTCTGGAAGTTCAGCATTATGTCTCTCTGTATACACTGTGGTGCACTTAACTTGTGGATTTTTTTTATACTAAAAAAAGTAGAATAAAGACTATTTTGAAAATTTGAATAAAGTGACAAAGTTGCATTAGACCTCACACAGAACTGACCGTTGCTCAGCTTGGTGGTGGTGGTGGTTTTTTTTATTTATTTTAAAGGCTTGCATCTTCTTTCCTGCCTTCTTGCAAACTTCATCTTAAATAGGTTTTGTGAAAGGGGAACTTTTCTTAAGAGGTGGGGAGAACCCTGTAGATCTCCTGAGAGCATTTCACACTAGTCTCTCCTAACACAGGGAAGGATGATAGGAAAGAATGAAGTGAAATTTGAGTCGATCTGTTGGTTTGTGAGGATATCGCAGACTGGCATGATGGGTAAGTGGACTTGTGGTACAATAGAGGATCATGCCAAACTGAAGCATTTTTAATTTCTTGGAAACAGTCATCCTGCTTCAGAAGTTAAGCAATACAGGGCATGTTGAGTCATCTAGAGTGATTCAGCCAAACAACTCTGTAGGGCTAAAGCAAACATAAGGGCAGAGTAGTTTCAGGCATCTTTTTTTCATCCCTAACAGGGAATTACTGCTGAGAGAGGTAAAGCACTTTTTGAATTTTAGCACTTCATTCAGCCTAAGATCAGGTAGCTTGCCCTAAAGAGGGGTGTTTTCCTTTTGGTGGTGGCACTAGTGACACCAAACTAAGGTACTGTGCAGAACAGTGATACAACAGCCTACACCACGTAGAGGCCTGACTTTCTTGTGTTGAGTGACTTGTTTACATGAAATAAGCTGCTAGCCTCACCGCTTGTAAGAATGTAATAGGAAGTGTTGTGCTTAATTAGATCATGGATCTGTCTGGTCTCAAACACTGGCCAGTACCACATGCAACACCTCAAAGTGAAAGAAACCCGGTAGTGGAAAACACTATATAATCTGCTCATAAGGCAAGTGTCTTTAATTGGCCTCTGTCAGCTAATGGCCGTCCTCATTTTGAGAGGCAGTGTGCTCCAAGGGTTAAGACACTGGGTTAGGATCAGGAGCCCTGGCTTCTTTTCCAGCTCTGCCACTGACTTGCTGTGTGACCTTGGGCAAGTCACTTCTCCTGTCTGTGCTTCCAGTTCCCCTCCCACTTGGTGGCCTTTTAGACTAAATTCTTTGGGACAGGGACTTACTAAGTAATTGTACAGAGCCTAGCATGATGGAGGCCTCTAGGAATTACAACACAAATAATAACTTTATTAACTTTGGCCCTTAATCTAGTCCCCCCTTCCTTTAAGCAACCTTAACATTCTTTGCTCGAGGAGAGAAACTCTAGATCAGGGGTAGGCAACCTATGGCACACATGCCAAAGGTGGCACATGAGCTGATTTTCAGTGGCACTCACACTGCTTGGGTCCTGGTCACTGGTCCGGGGGGCTCTGCATTTTAATTTAAATTAAACTTCTTAAACATTTTAAAAACCTTATTTACTTTACATACAATAGTTTAGTTATATATTATGGACTGATAGAAAGACTTTCTAAAAATGTTAAAATGTATTACTGGCACGTGAAACCTTAAATCCGAGTGAATAAATGAAGACTCGGCACACCACTTCTGAAAGGTTGCCAACCCCTGCTCTAGATGTTTATTAGTCCATATTACAAACCGTACAAGGAAGTGCACTATCATCACAGCTGGCCCTTTTACATTGTAGTGCTTCCAACCAAATCACTTACTAAGTGGGAGATCCTTGCCTTCAGTTTAACAATCATTCTACGCAGCGGAACAATGGTTGAGGTTAGCATTGTGCACGTGTTAAATTAATCCAAGAAGGAAAAGTGTAATAAATTAGGGAAAAAAAGTCTCTAGCTCCCAGAGTCCAGGAAACATGGGCAACTTAGCGTCAAACCTGAGTCCGGTGTAGAAGCTGTTAGCCCCTCTGAATGGGTTATATAAAATATTCCTCCTTTTCTCCTTTGGAAGGGAGGTTCTCCATCTGTACTGACACATCTGCTTCTGGTTGCTCATAGGTATGGTAGCTACCTTTATTCTTGTACAGGTATATGATGATCACTACCAGGACTGTCAGTAGTGTGATGAAAACCACTGTGATGACACCTTCCGAAGAAAAAGAAAGCCAGATTAGGATATAGCCTTGCACAGCTCAGCCTCTAGCTGCTCACTTAGAAATCTGCTTGATCTGTAATAGTACTAGCATTGGTCATAAGAGCAGCAGAACAATATGGGATGCTCTCAGGGCTATGTTTATTTCAAACTGGGGAAATAGTATAAAAGTGTATATTAAAAAATAATTCACTGTAGGGGACAAAGAGGAGGTACAGAGTGGTACAGCGCTAGCCTGGGATTTAAGTCTAGATTCTGTTCCCTGCTCTGTCCCAGACATCATGTGTGACCTGGGCCATGGCACTTGGGCCAGATTTTTAAAGGCATTTTGGGTCCTAAAGATGCAGATTGAAAATCCCACTAGGTGCCTATCTGCATCTTGTCATACAGCAGGGCCAGGGAGCAGTGGGAGAGTGGTCCAGGGGAGATATATAAGCCCTAGGCTAACTAAGGCATGGTTCCCTGTAGACTAGGGAAGGTTACTACAGGTTAATTGGAGCACTTGTAGTCAATTAAGGCCCTGTCAGGAACCTAGTTAAAAAACCCTGCTTCAGGCAGACAGGGTGGTGCAAGGAAAGAGAGAGGACTGGAGTTTAGAGGCGGGTTGCTGAGAACTGAAAGACCAGAGAACCGGAGGAAGGGAGACTCTGCCCCAACGTCAAGGACCGAGGGTAACCCTACCCAAGGGGGAAGAGGGTAAGAAACCCGCAGGGGCTGGGGCTCAGAGTGCGGCGCAAACCCAGACCCCTTCCCTACTTCCCTCCTCCAGCACCTTCCCGGGCCACTAACGGGGCCCTTGGTGCCCCAAGAGCAGAGGTGAGGGGTGGCGTCCTAGCCCTCCCACCAAGAAAAGCATAGGACCCACCATCCCAACATCAGCCATTGTGCCACAATCTTTAGGCACCTAAATACCTTTTAAAATCTATCTCTTGGTCTGTATGCCTCAGTTCCTCATCTGTAAAGTGGAAAGAATAGGAAAGTACTACCTCATCGGGGTATTGTGTGAATTAATACGTTAAGAGTGTGAGAGGCTCAGATACCATGCTGATGGGAACCATATAGTACTGTAATATCATTTGCTATATTCATGCATGGATTTGGGGAATCAGTGTGGCGGGGACTGCACAGGAAAAGATGTGGGTTTCATGTCTGGCTCCGTGACTTGTGGTCTTGGACTTGCCACTCAACGTTTCTGTACCTCAGTTCCCAACCCAGAAAATGACAGTAATATCTCACTTGCTGTTGAGAAGCTTAAGCAATTGATGTTTGAGAGCTTCAGAAGCAAGATGGATTTGTCACGGTGTCTAGAAATGATATAGGACACTCCTCTTTTTCCTGATCTTTAAATAGAATATCTTACGGAATATTAGTAAAGCAGCTGAGATTATGCTAAAGTGATAGAAAAAACAGTTTATCAGCAGTTGCTGACTACTGGTCTCTGTTACGGGAAGTTACTCCAGCATTTCAGCCATTGGCAGGCAGATCGCACTTAACCAGCAACACACTATACCCAGAAGAGATGCTTCAGACAATGGCACCTGTAATAAAGTGTTACACTGGGAAATAAGTATTGACGCAGCCTATGACAAGGCTTGGAGACTGGCTAAGAGGCAAGACTAACCTTATGTGCATGGACAGAGATGGAGGTGGCATTGATTTGGTTGGGTGAGTAGCTGAATAACCCATAGATTTTTTTTTTCTACATCCATTTCCTCTTCTTTCTCTTAGTGTGTGTGTGTTTGTTTTTTAATCCTGCCCTGAACTATATCTTTTGCCTCTTCTCTGTGCTTAGAACCTGGGCCGGGAGAAATTCACTGTTGCTTTAGCTTCATGTAGGCCATCTCTGGGGGGCCACTCTAGAATTGTTCTCAGTAAAAAGGGACTGAGAGGCTATTAAACTCCTCTGCCTGGAAAAGTTCAGCAGCTGTCAGCTGGATAAAAGCAACCTAGCTTCCGGTGCTGTTATTACAGTTAACCCCTTGGTGATATGCCTTGGTGTCGTGCATTCTTGGCGTGCGTATCTACCGAGGTGAGTGCTGAAATGTTGTGCATTAGCTGGGAACTGCCAAGGTCATCCACGTTGCAATACAGCCCCTTGCAGCAGTGAAAAGAATCATTAATGCCTCAGTGTGGAAGAAAGATGAGTAAGTCCTGTAAGGTGAACTACTTTGATTAGGCTCTGAGTTTTACCCAGAAAGTGTCTATGTACCTATGTATCGTGGTACAGAGCAGAGTGATGGCCTGTGTGCTGGTTGGGATCAATATGCAATGATAGGAACGTCCTACCTGCGATGACACCCACACTGGCTTCCTCTTGGAGAGACGGCGTATTTGTCCTCTTCAGAAAGGGGGTGGTCAGCTCTTCTTTACAATGCCGGGGGGGAAATTGAGAAAAGGGGGGAGGGAGGGGAAGAATGTAAGTGACACTGTTATTGAAGCATCTTCAAGGCACTTACAGTAAAGCCTTTGGAGGCATCTAGTTACACAAGAATAGGTCTTATGCTAAGACTTGTTTAGTAGCGTTGGTTGAACATTTTTCATTGAAACAGTTTTTGGTCTGAAAACAGGTTTAAAACAAAAAGGAAGTATTTCTTCACACAACGCACAGTCAGTCTGTGGAACTCTTTGCTAAAGGATGTTGTGAAGGCCAAGACTATAACAGGGTTCAAAAAAGAACTAGATAAGTTCATGGAGGATAGGTCCATCAATGGCTATTAGCCAGGATGGGCAGGGTTGGTGTCCTTAGCCTTTGTTTGCCAGAAGCTGGAAATGGGTGACAGGGGATGGATCACTTAATGATTACCTGTTCTGTTCATTCCCTCTGGCGCACCTGGCATTGGCCACTGTCGGAAGACAGGATACTGGGTTAGATGGACCTTTGGTCTGACCCAGTCTGGCCGTTCTTATGAAAATGCCCTTTTGGCAAAACCATTTTTTTGTTTTGTTGTGAAATTGTATTGACAACATTTTGTTTAGAAAAAAAATAGGAAGGGTTTTGAAAAATGTTAAAACATCCCAGTTTGACACTTTTAGATCAAGAAGTTTTGGTTTTTCCCATGGCAAAATGACTCTGGTTTGAAGCTTACTTCATTATATATTTTTAAAAAATGGTTGAAATCCAAACTAAATGTTTTGATAGACCTAAAATGATTTTTTTTTGAAATTTTGGATTTTTGTCCCAGTTTGAGTCAAATTTTTTGTTCTCAAATTTCTTTTTCTTGCAGCATGGAAAATCAGTTTTCTGACCAATTCTGTCATTTACCACAGATGAACCCTGGAATGGGAGTGAAGTCTGGAAACTTTTCAACCACATGTTAATTGAACGATTTAGAGCAGTGGCCTTGATTAGCAGCCCAGAGGTACTCAACACTTTTAGCCAAATCTGTGGACTTTAATGGTGCAACATGCCTATTGGAATCTGTGAGTTTTGCTCAATTCAAGACTCCAAGACATGGTTTAAAAGGCAGAACTGATTTAACAGCATCTTTCCCATCATTCTGTGGCATTATGTAATCAGGCTGTCTCCTTGCACATCGTGTTATAAACAGCAGCAGTGCTACCAGCAGGAATGGTCTGGCAGTAGCTCCGTTCCAAATTGTCTTACAAGTTCTCAACCTGAGACAATTTCTTCTGGCTACATTTTGCTTCAACGGGAAGTGGGTTTGTCTTCATGTGGGACAATTATAAAGGGGTCTTTTGGATAGGGAAAAAATAGAAGCTGCATGCACGGCAGGTGTTTTTCCTGCAAAGTTTTCAGCAGAAACAAACTTGCATTCACAAATGCTTCTACAGTTTGGCTCACTATAAACTTCTGCCTCTCCTGCTAAGGTGTTGTATTGTAAGATGAGGCCCCATATAAACCTGCCTCTTCATTTTGCGTCATGCAGAAGGTGTTGCGTTACCTTGCCAGCTAGTAAACCAAGCTGTGATTTACTGACTCCTTACCAGGTTTGCAACCTGCCACGCTTTCAAGCGCTTCATACCTGGAGGTGGTGGAGTAGCCCCCATGGATCTAGCTGAGTTGCAGGTGTTTTTATCCTTCCAATTTAAATTTTGGGATCTTTTAGAACTACAAAAACAGCAAGAAAAGTGATGTTAGATTTATTAGCGTCTTACAATGGGGAATGTAACTCAGTTAATTACCCTTATGCTTAGTTATGGTAGAATCTGAACTTTTTGATCAGTCACCCAACATCAAAAGCAGCACTTACTTTGAGAAGAAAACAAAACAGTCTAATTTGTGCAGACCTCATTGGAATAGTTGAGCCCAGGGTCAACCCAGGAGCAAGTTAAGACAAGCAGGGATTGGGAAAGCCCAGGTGACTATCCAGCATCTTCAAACAGGTCCAGTTCGATTTGTTCGTTAAGCCAGGATCAGAGCAGACCAGTGATGAAATGGGGAATTGTCTCTAGCCGTGCAATTAGTTCTCTGATTCAATTTAAGCACATATGACACTTTACACCTTTAAAATGCTTTCCATGCACTAACTAGTAAGTCCTTACAACTTCTACGCTATGCATATCATTTTCTTTGTCATAAAAGGGGACAATGAGGCACAGGCCACGTCTACACTACCCGCCGGATCGGCGGGTAGTAATCAATCTATCGGGGATCGATTTATCGCGTCTCGTCTAGACGCGATAAATCGATCCCCGAATCGACGCCTGTACTCCACCTCGGCAGGAGGAGTACACGAATAGCGTAGCTGAAGTTGCGTATCTTAGATCGATTTCCCCCTTCCCTCCCCCCCCCCAGGGTAGACCAGCCCATAGATATGTTAAGGCCAGAATGTCTAAAGGTGGCCTTTGGTTTTGGGGGCTTTAGTTTTGAATGCTTCTCATGAGCCACGCTGGGAAACGATGTGGAGAAATTGGAAAGGGTCCAGAGAAGAGCAACAAGAATGAT